CAGGCGGGGGCCGTGGCTTCCTCTGTCCCCCTGAGTGTCCCTGTCCCTGCAGTGAACGCCTTCTGGGTGACAGTGCAGCGGACTGAGGCCGCCGAGCGGTGCGAGCTGCGCGGGGCCTACGTGCTGAAGGCAGAGCGCGACAGCCTTGTCCTGAAGGACCCGCAGACACAGAAGATCCTCTACGTCTGGCCCTACCGGCTGCTCCGCAGATACGGCCGGGACAAGGTAGGGAGTGGGGGGCCACGTGTGCTGCACACTGAGCCTGTTTCCCCCTGGGCTTTCCCTTGTCAAAGGGTGAGGGGTTGACGTGCAGCGCACCCTGCCGAGTGCCAGAACTGCCCACAGCCCTTGGCGACCACAGCAGGGTCCCAGGGGCATCTGTGATCCCATCTGTCCTCGGCTTTCCCCCATGTGACCGTGGACTAGCAGGACACCTGTGCCTGCTGAGGACATGGCTGTGCAGAGCCCCTCACTGTGTGTCTTTGTCCCACTCCCACTGGGGCCCTTGCAGCTCCCACCAGCCCCTCTGCTGGGTGTCCCCACTGCTGCTTTGCCCTGTTCTCCAGCCTGTACTGTGGCCCAGCATGTTCTCCTGTGCTCTGCACAAGGTCTCCCCAGCCTCTGGGGACACTGGCTTCCTGCGGTTCTGGCTCTGCCCTGGATCCACTCCATCCCTCCCAAAGGGGGGTGACCAGCACAGGGCGGGTTGCTTGAGACACAGTTACTCCAGATTTGTTCACCCTACAGGGTGTGCTGCACTTTGCCTGGCTAGCCTGTGTAGATCTGCCCCTGCTTCAGTGTCCTCCAGCAGCAGGTGCCTGATCTGTCTTGCTGCACAAGAGGTACCTGCTGCACTGGGTGGAGAGGAAGTGGTCTCCCCAGGGCTGTTCATAGCAGGGACGGTGTCAGCTGCAGCTGCTGATGGTGCTTTCTGTAGTACTTTACCAAAATGGAAGTGGAAACTTGGGGAGACAACTGGCTCATCCATAGGGCTTGTGTCGGGGGCAGGACAGTGTGGACAGGGAACCACATGGGGTGAGGAGCAGGCAGCTGCACCCACAGGTCCCTGAGTGGTGATGGTTTGGCTGTGCTTGTGTTGGGCAGCAGTGACCCACAAAAGGAGGTCTGGCCCCTGGTGTTTTTGCAGAGACTGCTGCTGCAAGTGAGATGGCACCAGTGAGGCAGAAAATCTCACCTGGATTCAGGGAATGAGGTTTGGGAAGGTAGTGAGCATCTGCTGGTGGGAACCTGCACACGAGTTCAGACCTAAGGAACACAGCCTTCGCTCAAGACTTACCTTTAAAGTACTTTATTCCATTAACAAGTAATGCTGGTAAGGCAGATGCTTGCCTTGCCAAGCTGCTGATTCTGGCCTCTCTCCTGTGCAAAGCTGTTCCTCTGTGAGTCTCTTTCTCCTGGATCGTTTCTCTTCTGACTGACTTATGCTGACTTACCCAAGATGCCTGTAGTAGTTTCCCTTGCTGAACTGTCACTCATCTTCTCACCCTGCTCTGTTCTCTGTGCAAATGGCTTGTTATTTCCTAGACTATCTTGTCCCAGTTGTTGACTCTGCTGGAGTTGGAGTTGCCCAGATAAGGCAGCAGGTCTCTAGCAGGACCTGCAGCCCTAGTCCTGGGGCATCTCGCAGTGATGTCTTCTCAAGTGTTGATCCCGTTCCAGTTTCACAGCTTGTTCTGGGCTGCTCTGCAGCTCTGCTCCTCCTGCCCAGGGCAGCATCCAAGCACAGCAGGTCCCTGGGCTGGTGCTCTCTGAGCCATGGCCGGACTGTGGGGTGTGGGGGAGCAGGGTCTCCGGTGAAGTCTCTCTCACGGGAGCAGCTCCACAGCCATGTGCCCACCAGCGGGATGCGTGGCTGGCATGGTGGGTGGGGTGGGCAGGGGCTGGGCAGGCTGTGACCCCTCTGCTTGCCCTGCAGGTGATGTTCTCCTTTGAAGCTGGCAGGCGCTGTGACTCTGGCCCGGGGAACTTCACCTTTGAGACCAAGCAGGGCAACGAGATCTTCCGCCTGGTGGAAGCCTCCATCCGGGAGCAGAAGGCACAGGTGGAGGAGAACCGGCAAAGCTGTGACTCGCTGGAGGCGGAGAGCCCCAGCGTGGTGCTGCTCCGCCAGGCCCTGGCTGACTCCCTGAGCCTGGAGCTGCCAGAGGAGGGGGACAGAGCCCT